TTCCCGCCTCATAAAATTCATTGAATAACGTTACGCGAAGACCCGGAATTTCGAGCGACTAACTCGCCGTTTTTCCCTCCTTCAATATATAACATTAAATTTGCTATCATTTTATTAATAACGATGATTACACTGACTTTCAATCTTGCGATTCTGCGATTTTTTTTTTTTTTTTTTTTTTTTTTTTAGCAGCAAAAAGGGTGTCGCAAATAAGTCGGAAAAGATGCAAAGTTTCGACTTTGCAGCAGGCAACTCTAATTTAGATGCTTGAAAATACCCCTATACCAGCATGGGTATAGTTTAGGCCAATCTGATGAAAAAATCATCATTATGTGTTGAGAACTTGCCCGTTTAATCTTGTGTTTACTATCCTATAGGTCAGTTTAAGTTGATTAAGGGAAGTTAGAAACTCAATAACATTAAGAAGACCAGCCACGTGACCAGAGACCGGAACGATAACCGAAGCCTCGGAATTCCCTTTGCCAAATCTAAACGCCTCATTCGATAAGTTATCCTAGTACGTCACACGAAGATCTTGGAGTTTGAGCGACTGACTCGCCGTATTCCAAGATAACAATAGCTAGTGTTGGCTACAGATTTATTTTCGGTGAAGTGGCTGTCTGTGAATTGTACCAAAACCATTTGGGATTTTATTTTTATTATATAATGCGTATTTAATGAAATTTATTTTTTATAGTTAAATGGACAAGCATTAATCATGTGTATGTATAATCGTTATCAAATTTATCAGAGGAAGCTTTCTTCGGAAAATTTGTGCATAATGCGTTGCATGCGTAAAAGACTAGTGTTATTTGCTTAATAAAGAACGATTTTAATATATTATTTAAATTAAGTTTAAATTACAGATAATAGCACGAATTGCGCAATACGTATCGATATACATTTTATTATTCTTGATAGGTTTTCCTTTGGCGGCACACATATATAATACCAGATACTGATAGTTTATTTAGAAATGTTTCAAGATTTTAAATTCATTGTAGGACATAAAATTAACACCAATATTATATACAGATCGGAGATGCGTAGCAAACATATATATTTACACAAATTTGTCATCTACACGTGTTTGAAAGCTTATAATTACAAAGATTTTTAATTTATATAAATTATTGATAAGAACTGCCATAAATAGGAAAGTTTGTGTAAAGACGCACAATTAACGTTAAACTTTTTTTGATCTTGACATTAAATGTTTGTGTAATTGTGAATTACGCAAATTGGTTATTCATTTAATTGCTAATTAAATTTTACTCTTAAACATTAACTATAATTTAGTTTTTGTATTAGACTATAACTTAAAAGTTATAAGCTTACTTAAAGTCCTATTATAATAGCAATCATCTACTTTATTTATCATTTTTATGTTACTATGAGAGAAAAAGATTCCTCCTTTTTATGCCTACGCTTTATACATTGTATGATATTAATTGACCTTACTTGAAAGAGGCTTCATGATGTTACTCTAGTCTCAGCTTCTTAAACTATCTAGTAGACAAAGCCTGTTAAAATTCTTTTTAACCTTTTTTTTTTATATAAGATATTCTTAAATTTAATTTTCTCTTATTAAAATTAAAATAAAAATTTGGATATTGTTAGTTGATATTGTTTCAATTTGTAATAAAATTTATAATTTTGCAAAAAAAAATTTAGTAGTTTGTACTAATTTTATAAAAACATCAGATATTTAAAAAAAAAAATTTACTACTAATTAAGGCAATACAAAGTTGATTTTCTGGTTCTCATAACATGAAATAAAAAAAATGACCCGGCAGGCCGGGTAAAAATTTTAATGTAAAAAATTTTTTACGTAATTAAAAATTTTTTTAATTTTTTTAATTTTTTTTGTATATTTACAAAAAAATTCCGCGTCAGTGAAGTGGTGTATGTGATTTTTTTTTTTTTTATATAGTTAACCAATAGAATTCTCCATACTAGAAACGTAGTGAAACAAAAGTGTATAGTTTAGTGCTTGAACCCGAGTGGGCACTACCTGGCTCATTCGCGGGTTAGCAGAGGTAGACAAATTCATTTGTCTCTCGTGGATAAGCTCAGCATCATTATATTGTATTTAATAAAAAAAAAATTGATTTAATCATTTATCTATTACAAGTTTTTAATTCAGTTAAAAATTGATCAGTAAAATTAACTTGAAAATATTATCAGTAAAATTAGCTCGAAACATATCGGTACGATTCCCCGAAAGTTAGTTCTTCACCTGACACCACATCTCCCAACAGACTATTTCATCTACAGCCTATTTTCTCGACAAGATATATTTTCAGACATTTCCTTTTTCTGATTCTGACATCACCTTTTTATTTATTATTTCAATTAAAAATTTTTTTTTTATAAAAAAAAAAGCCGTGCGCCCGCGTCACGGATTACCATTCCGTAATATGAAAACCTATTATATAATTTTATATGGCCTTATATGTAAAAAAAAATTTTAATTTTAATTTTTAGAGAAAGTGATCCGACCGGTTATGAGAACCAGAAAATTAACTTTGTATAACCTAATGATAAATTTATTCATTAATTTATAAAAATTTTATAATTAAGCTAAGTTTGTTTTTTTATAATAAATATTAAAATCTGTATTAAAATTATAAAGAATATCTATTTTGAATTCTAAAAAATTGTCAAAAAACTAATTATAAAAGTTTTAAAATTAAAATTAAATACTTTTTAACTCAAATTTTTTATTTTAGACCGTTTTGAATTTAAAAGTTTGTTTCCGAAGTTAAAAAATATCCGCGAAATTTATTAACGTCCCCTCTACCACTGGAGCTCCCCCGATATTAAACAATAGAAAACGAGTATAAAAATATAAATAAATCAAAAAAAGCCATCCAGGTATAATGAACCTAAATCAGGTACAATTTGAACCTAATTTGGATCTAAATTTGGGTCTGTTTAGTTTTCCCCCTCCCCCTTCAAGCAAATATGGAAAAAGGAACGTTAAACTAGTCTTTAAACTCAAACGACCTTAAGACCAGAACTTATAACTAGATTTAAAGATTTTTAAGAATATAGAACATTTTTACTTCATACCAGCCAATTAGTTTTTGAGATATTTGATGAAAGTAAATAAAAATTACATGTATAAAATATAATTTTAAAAAATTTAATATTTTTAACAGCTAAATTTGCCCGCTAAACCTGACGATTAAGTTTGATCACATGATGGAAATCCATATCACATTCGTGTCAATAAATAAATAACAATAAAGTTTGTACTCAAATACATTCGATCAAAACATTAGCATTTATGAACAAATATACTGCATCCTTTATTACTTTTTGTTAAACAAATTTTTACTGACAAGTTATTTATTAGTTATTATTATAGTTTTTTATATATTGATATTAATATAATTATATTTAGAAACTTCATTTAAAAGTTAACGTTAATGAATTAAAAATTTCTACTTCTAATTATCAGTAAAAGTTTCAAAAATTTTATAAAAATTATTAATCGAATATTTAAAGAATATCATCGTATTACATTTCAATTATTTGTTAATCTAATAAAGGCGAAAAAAATTTAATAATTTAATATAAGGTACTTATAGGTAATGCAAAGATTATAATTTCTAATCACTATTTATTATTATTATTATTATTATTATTATCAAAACAAATTCTAATTATTCTAATTTAATCTTATAAACCTTTAATTGTTGCATATTTCATAGAACACAATAGGTATTTTAAATACTTCTTATATATGAATATGATGTTATTTATCATATATATTTTTTTACCAGACACTATAATTTACGCTTATAATTTATTGTTCATGTGTTTATACTTTCTTTTAAATGTCGAACAAACGTCTAATTTTTAATGTATAACACAAAATTGAATTCAATTTAATAAAATTAAAATAGTACTACATAACAATTTAAAAGTTCACAGTACTTACTGTATTTATTATACGTACATTGCCCGGTTATCAGCGAATTATAAAGAATAATTTCAAGAATCCAAATCCTAATATTCGTTGTATTGTACTACTATTTATTATTTAATTAATTAAATTTTTATCTAATGTAAATCTTAATTGAAATAATTATCTTAAAGTTTTATACATATGCCTGAACACATGTTTACGATATTATCAGTTTTCATTATAAAAAGAGTCAATATATCGTTTTTAATGAATAATAAATCTTAAGATTACATTCCCCTTTGCTTAGGTTTTCTTATCCATTCAATATGGTTTTCCCTCGTTCCATCCTTCTTTTATCCGCTCTTATTATTTTTTTATTCCTTACTTTCGTTACTGCCCAAGATGGATTTCAAAATAATTTTGAAAAACGGGATTTAAAACATAAAAAACATAATCATCACCATAAGCATAATCACCATAAGCATCATCACCATAAACTTCATCACCATCATGGACATACAAAACATAAATACAAGCCTGTTTACAAATATGAGATAGACGAGAAACATTATCTTGAGCACAAATCCAACTATCATATTCATCATTACAAATCTAATCCTCACCATACTCATGTTCCTCATAAATACCCTTTTCATTATCCTCATTATCCTCATAAATACCCTCCTCATTATCCTCATTATCCTCATGATCCTCATAAATACCCTCCTCATTATCCTCATTATCCTCATGACCCTCATAAACATCCTATTTATGATCCTCATAAACATCACTTTTATGATCCTCATAATCATGAATATCATCCCGTGCATCATACTACAACAACTTACTCCTACAAAACTTCTGCAGCAAGAAGCACTGAAGCTAAAACCAGCACTGAAGCGAAGACCACTGCTAAAATCAGCGCTACAGTAAAAACCACAGCTAAAACCAGTGATGGGGCAAAGACGACAGCTATGACTAGTGCTGTAATGAAGACTACGGCTAAGACCAGTGCTGAAGCCAAGACTACAGTTAAAACTAGTGCTGAAGCTAAGACCACAGTGATGACGGCTAAGACCACAGCAAAAACTAGTACTACTCTAGCAAAGACTACAGCTAAGACAACAACTAAGACTAGCATTGTAGCGAAGACTACGATTAATACCAGTGCCGAAGTCAAGAATACATCTAAAACTAGTGCTGAAGCTAAGACTACAGCGACTACAGCTAAGACCATAGAAAAAACTGGCTCTACGATAGCAAAGACTACAGCTAAGACTAGCATTATAACAAATACTACAGCTAAGACAACAGCTAGGACTAGTGCTATAGCAAAGACCACAGCAAAGACCACAGCTAAGACTAGTGCTAAAGCTAAAACCACAGCTAGGACTAGTGCTATAGCAAAGACCACAGCTTAGGGATGAGAATCGAATCTATGATAATCGGTTTAATCGTTAATCGAATTAGAATCGATTCTTATTTTCGTGTAATCGTTATAATCGTTTCTAGAAACGATTACATATTTTTGAATCGATTCTTAAATTAGAATCGATTCTAAGCA